GAGCAGAGTAGATAGGGGCAATCACCTCCCTGTCCCTGCTAGTCACCCCTCTTTTGATGGAGCCCAGGATACCATTTGCATTCTGAGCTACAAGAGCACACTGCTGGCTCATGTTAAGCTTTTCATCCATCAGGACCCCCGTGTCCTTCTCTCCAGGGCTGCTCTCAAGGACCGCTCCTTCCAGTCCGTATGGATGCCTGGGATTTCTCTGGCCCAAGTGCAAAACCTTGCACTTTGCTATGTTGAACCTCATTAGATTCACCCAGGCCCACCTTTCAGGTCTATTGAGCTCCCTCTGAATGGCATCCCTTCCTTCCACTGTGTCAACTGCACCACTCAGCTTGGTGTCATCAGCAAACTTGCTGAGGGTGCATTCAATTCTGCCATCGATGTCATTGATAAAGATGTTAAAGAGCACAAGAGTTCTTACTTGGCTTAATATAGAATGTAACAGCTAAGTAAGGTGAAAATATAATTCTTTAAACCTCAGTGAGTCTGCATTAAAGCGGTAGTGAAATGTGCTAGTTTTCCACTGGCACTTCACGTACTACATCCCAGTCTGACAGACTTTTTCCTCCCATACTTCTGTCTTATAAATGAAGTGCAGTTCGTAATCATCTACAGAAGAACAGTATTTATGTTTCAGATACATATGTGAAAACCATGTTTAACACTGCTGTTGTAGATACTACTTGTGTGTTTTACCTCATTTATACAAGAGGAGAATTGAAAACATGGATCATACTTTAAAAGTTAGGGCTTAAAGTTAATTGCAAATTTCTATATAGTTCTACTTAGGCCTGATATTGTGTATTCTCCGCGTGCATTTCTCTTATTAAAATAATCTTGAAAGCATCAGTACTTCAGAAAGCTTTGTCAGGCTATTGATGTCTAATATTTTGAAGCTTACACGTTTTCTAATAACTTAATATATCAAGGAGTAGTCAAATGTTATTTTCAAGACAAAATACTTAAAGGAGAGTAGGAAGCGCACAAGATTGATTTGTTGTACTGAATATAATTGTGATTAGGCTATTGCCTGAAAGAGTTCTTTGCTGGCTAGGAAGAGATAAAGATATGACACGTATAGAAGTAAAGGCTGGGAGATGAATAAGCTCAGGGAGTTGATCTTTTCAGATCAGATAAAGATTCTTTAGGTCTCTTTCTTCCTATGTATTGCATCAAAGGCTGTCTTTCAGAGATAGAAGGAAATGTTTGTAATCTAGGGAAATGACCTTTGAAAATGGTCGTTTCTGAGATTGACAGGCAGCTGGGTTTGGGAGTAGTTTTTGATAATCTTTTTTAATCCCTGTGAAAGTTAAAAGAAAGATGACAGGCTGACGGAGTAAATAATTCTTGCATCTTTCTGTATATTTCACAATAAATTGTTTTGCTTTCAAGGTAATGAGTATCTTTGAAAGATCTAAGGAAACCCTAGGAGCAAGTAGCTCCCGATTTCCTTCAATGTTTGTTTAAAAAATAGCAGTACTTATTGGTGAGCAGTGTCTGTCTTTCAAGGGATAATTGTTCTCTTTTTAAAATCTAAGTATTCTGAAAAATACTGGACTTTGAAAACTGATATTCAGAAAATAGTGAGGTAGTAAGAAGTTTTCACTGATGGAAAAACGTAAAATAGAAATACCTGTTTCATCTAGGAATGATTGTTCAATCACAGTGTTTCCAATCACTTACCACATCAATTGCATTGGTTAAATCTAATGTCAGCTCTTTTCTTCCCGTATATATAAGCGCCATGCTACAGCTCTGCCAGGCATCCTCCATAAGCATAGGAATATATGCTACAGCATTTTGTTTGTGTTTGCAGCTCTGTATTCCTGGGCATGGTTTCTCAGTTTGTTTATTATTTCAGAGATTTGAGTATCATTGAAATAACATAATCCAAGTATCCTTGTTTTCCAGCAGACTGTATTGAGCTTTCACACCTTGAAGTAAACCAGAATATTGTTGCATTTTAGTTTTGTTCCTTCACCTCTTTTTAGTGATGTTTGGTTTGTAATCCTTTCTATCTTGATGATCTTGAAGGTTTTCTCTAACCTGATCAATTCAATTCTATTTAAAAGTATGATATTAAAGACAGCTTCATTCAAGGCCAGAAAACTTTTTACAGTTGTTGCCTTTACAGCATTCATACAAGACACAGAATGAGGAATGATTGAAGCCTAATATACTATTTTGTTCTAGAATCTGTTCTGTGTATCTTTTGCCTCTAAGTTTCAGTATTTGCTATAGAAATGTGTCGGAAACTGCAGTGGGCCATGGTATTGAAAAAGGTGTTCCTTTATTAAACCTTTGTGGTAATGAGAGTGATAAATGGGACATGTCTGGTGTCAGCATGCTGTTTTGTTTCCCTTCTGGTGTTCTCCAGAGACTCCTCCATCAAAATGGGGAAGACAAGACCTGACATTTGCATACCTTAAAAGCAAGCAGGCATGACTGCTTTGAGATACATGAAAAATTAGTCTCTTTGTTGCAGAAAAAGGCATAGGTAATTTGAGTTAGCTTCACCATCTACACATTTTTGACCCAGGAGTCTTGACTTCATACTCTTTCCATGAAACAAATCACTCCCCTTGTGGAAAGGTGAATGTCTCAGTCATTAGAGTCCATGTATAGTAGTAGAATTTTTTCTTGCATAGAAATGAAAACTTCTGAGACAATCTTAGCTTCATAAGACTTTTTCTCCTTTAAATTCTATTTCTAATACTCTTCCCTTATTAAAGATATTACTCGTTCTTTTGAAATGCACAAATTTCATATCAACTAATATTTATCTTTAATAAGAAAAAAGCAACAACAAGCCTGCCTTTTTGAAAATGATGTTATTACATGATCTGTGCCCCTGTGGTAATCTGCACATAAGCATTGATAGTTATCTGCTGAAGATGAGCTAGGTAATTAGAGTACTGCAGTATACTGATCTTTGTTTTTACATACGTAACTCACATGGTTATAGAATTACAGGAGCATTCTCTTGCAGGAATATAATGTGAAAATACAATATTTGTCACAACTTTGGGATATCAAATGATTTACTCTTGTGAACACTCAATTTACAGATTTCTTCTAGTCCTGGCTAGCAGGCATTATACTGGCTATTAATCATACAGCATTTATGGGAATTGTTGATGGAAAAGATGATCTGTTTCAGGGAAAACACAGAACTGATATCAAGATATATACATATATATATTGTCTTTGACTCAAGGAACATAGCTATTTTTTCATTAAGGTAGAAAAGCAGGCAGAGGAAGAGGGTAGAGTTAGCTGCTGCTATTTACCTGTTTTGCTTTGCTGCTGTCTGGTGAAACATGATTTAATCAGCTTGTACTCATACAGGACAGACCAAATTTGGATGCAAAACTTACTATATATAGTACAGAAACGAAACATACAAAATTATTCTAGTGTATGACAATACTGTAGGTAGGTGAGGTAGTGGATTTGTTGGTCAAGGGAGAGTTAGACTATGTGTCAGTGTAGTGCATTGAGTTATATTACAGTTTTTCTTTTGTAAATGTGCTGTTTGGATACTGCAGAAGGTAGTTCTAGTTAGTTGGGAGTATCTGTAAGATGCTACTGGCTTTGGTAGCTGAAAATCATTTGAATTGACAGTAGAACACACAGGAAGGTTCACTTATTTTTTTGTAGCAGAGCACATTATTTTTTTACAAGATGATTGCAAGTAAAAAAAAAAAAAAAAGGAAAGAGTGTCAATTTTTGCTTTATGAAAGTTGTCAACTATTAGTTGTTAGACGGGTGAGATGGAGTGTCTTCATGCAGTCAGATAACAAGGTGGTTGCCCTGCTGTACTGGGGCTGAGATTGTGACAGCATCAGCTCCACCAACTGAGCTCCCATGAACTTTCTGGTCACTTTCCTCTTGGTTATTAACAAGAATTGACAGTTGACTGAACTGAAAAGGTGACTTAGACCACTAGTTCATTTTGTTTAGGAATTGATGTGAATATTAAAATGATTTTTGGGCCTATGTCATCCTTACACAATAAAGAATTTTGTTGCCTCGTTACCTTGTGAATACAAGAAGTCTATTCTGTTAGAGACCATAACTAAACTTACAGTTTTATTGAGCTGTAAAGTAATATAGTTTTCAAAGTCACCTACTCAAAAATCAGGAAATAACTGAGTCCATGTGAACTGCGTTCGTATAATTTCTTTCTTCCAGAATGGATGCCTGCCTCAATGCTGCAGGCACTGGGGATGCTGTCTACAACAGAACTGGAGAACAAGCATTATGCTTGGCATCTTCTCTATTCAAAGTTGTAATAAAATAGCCATGTAGAAGTGTTTTAGGAAAATTCATAATTTTTTGAGGATTGGTTTGAAGGGGAATCATCTGATTGTCTGATGTCTTTTGCTTCCTGTGGGGCTAAGTACATAAACTGGTCTTCTTTCAAACTAAATTAAACTGGAAAAATGCCCTCTAGGTGCATGTTTGATACTCTCCGGTGGCAAATGTTCGTTGAGCTTTTTGGACCAGACTACATTTAATTCAAATTACCAAGCTTTTATGGGTATCTAATCATCACAGAGGATATCAGTACTTTGTATAATTGAAGATAGATAATTTATTATGAAAATCCACGATAGTGTTTTAAGATTCTAGTAAATGCTTCTGTTTGGATGGTACATTAAAATTATACATAAGGAGAAAGTATTTTTAGAAAGGTATTGGTGGATTTCAAACTTAACTAGAAATTCTTAAATAAAATTGGAATGTTAAGCTACCTAATTCATGATAGCAGTGCTTAGATGTGTAAACAATACACAAAATAGAATTTTTGAAAAGCTATGTAGTACATCTTTACTCAGATATGCTTCAATTTCAATTAAGTTCCAAAACGTGAATATATATAACTATATATAGAAAAAAAAAGTATGATGAGGAAAATAATAAGGAAAGACTTTGCATGGTTAAGAATTTGGGAAAACTAAATTATATGTCCTCTCTTTGGTCTTCAGCGCCTCGCTAAAGAAGCAGAGAAGTACCAAGCATCACATCAGTGGAGGGATGAGTTTGGGGTAAGTTTCATCTTTTCTCCCTTTAACTTCTTAAGAATTTTTCCTCATTCTAATGTTAATTCTCTTCTTACAAACATGTTATTTATATATCCACCACAGAAGGAATAATATCTGTGAATACATGTGTCAGAAACCAGTGCCTCAGTCTGGATCTGTAGAGAATGAAGTGGACTTTTCCCTTCATAATACAGAGGGAGCTTCACAGGCCCAACTACATAGTTCTGAGACACACACAAGACATATTTTTGTTTTAATACATATGGAGTAATTGCAGAGGAGATGTATCTGAGTGATAGCTAATGTTACTGATACTATCTCTGAGTAATACTCTGAGTTCTGAAACAAAATCATAGAAATTATTTTAACAAGATGCTTTTATGTGATAGGAAGAAGTTTTATATGAAAAAAAATGTTGTTTATGCAACAGTCAGGAGCTTTTTATTTTAAGAATCTTTTTCTATACTTTAGTAACAGCATCTCATCAACGTTCTGATACAAAAGAGACTGGTCAAATTCTAAATTATCGTCTAGAATCATTTCAGATGTAATTGAATGATTTTCAGATGCGAGTGTATGATTTTAAAATGCACAACATTAATACTTCATAAATATTCTAAACTAAATTTATTACTAAACTAACTAAAATTTATATGGCACTGTATAGATATAAGCCTTCAATTTTAGGCTATGGTTTCCTACAAAGTGTCAGAGCTTTGCCACTGTTACCTCTTTCTTCAGGAATAAAAGCAGAGGGTGCTTTTATGTGATTTTGCTAACCTAGACTGTCTGCATATCCACTGGCATCATAGAGGTACACAGTTAAGTGCACAATGCTTTTCCAGTGTGCCCTTTATGTCCCAGTGTTCCTCATACACTTGCACACAGAGTTCTTAAAAACAAGCCAAAAACACGCCAACAAAAACCTAAGGTTAAGCCAAATTCATATGAAAGTGCCTTTTTGTGAGCAAAAGGGTCTGGATATGTTCTGAATTGTTTCACATATGCTCCCTGCATAGGCACAGCTTCTAATACATAGTAAAACACAGAATGTCACACGTGGGGATGCAGTAATGGAAATTCCACAATGACCTTTGCTGCTAATCTATAACTGTTCTGAGTAGGAAACAAAATCCACAGGTTCTGTGGGCTCTCTGCAGAACAGAGTGAGGGAGGTCAGATGCTCTTTCCGATCATTTTCATTCTTATAGAACACACTGATTTCGTATCAACAATACTGTTTCTACTTTTTGTTTCTGTTTTCACCCTTTTCTTCAGTAGAAGTCAATTTCATCACAGAAGCTTCTGGTGTCATTGGAATTCACTGTCAAGGAGAGACCTCAAAGTAGTTTTGAAATGTGTTTTGATATTAATGTTATGGTACAAGAAAATACTGTGCTGAAAAACATATATATATATGTGAAAAGAAAGACATTTAGTTTTATAATAAAGTAACTGCAAACCAAAGTTGTTTTGAAATTAGCTGTGCACCATATAATATCCTTGACATTAGGTTATGCAATTAAATTTAAAATAAATGAATTAAGCTTCTTCTTATAATTTAATTTGCTTCATTTTTGCCAGAAGTAATTTTTCATCTCTTCTGGCCTACTTTTTAGAAAATGCCTTTTCAAATTAGTTTGCACACAAACTTTCTGATCTTTCTGATAAATTTAATTTTCACTGTAAGTTTCATTCTCCTAATGGCTGCGATGTAATATGGAAGATACATTGTAAAGCTTCCTTCATTTCTCACTGATAGCATTTCTTCTGATACCTTTGATGTCATTATGAATAGTCTGCATCATTCTCTATGAGATTTATTTCCTTTCCCAGGAATTGTTTTAGGGTGATGAAAACCCTCCCAGCAATACTGCACATAAGTAACTATAGAAATAAGTTCTTTGGTCTTTGGATCTTTCTTCTTCTAGTAAGTTCATAATCATTGATATCCTTAACAGTTACATTGCAGCAAAATCATAGCCTATGGAGTTTTGAAAAGTAAACACTGTGAACATTCCTTCTAGAGAGTTATACACAGGCTGATTTCAGTGGAATAAATCCAACAGAGGAAGGGCAAAGAGGGATGTTCTTACTACAGGGCTACAAGAGATCTGACCATCGTGACTGCCACATCACTGGTTCTAACAACTTACTCTAAGTATATAATGATGAACAGACCATAACAAAAGAAGCATGTAAGCATTTTTCAGGTTAATATCACAATTAACAAAAGTCCATTATCATCAGAAAATGTAGCATTAAATTAATCAGTACAGGGAAAAAATTTTGAAGATCCAGATTTGATTCCATTTTTTAATTTCATGTAATAATTTCATATGAAGGCTGTCAGAATTATCTAAAGGAAAGAATTTTCTTTCAGAAAAAAAAAAAAAGTTAAAGCTAAAATGTTGATAGAAACACTTATCTACTGAAATCCAGTTTTCCTATTATCTGTAGTTCAATGAGAGTAGAATGTCTCTCCTTATTTCTAGTGCTGTAGTATATTGAATTGAAAGTACTTCAAGAAAAATTGTGCAGTAAATTTAAGTGGTTTTTTTTTTTGTTTGTTTCTTTTAAATCTATTTTTAAAGGAAACTACCAACATTTAAGAATTTTTAAATTTTATTTTGACTTTATCTGAAATAAATTGTTAATCCGTATTAAAAAAAAATAATAATAATAATCTGTGAACATAGAAATCTGATTGACAGGAATTTGAGCTTGAATCTGTGACCCAGTGACTTACTGAACAGAGAATGTCTGATTTTTAGCTAAAATAGTCACGTTAGTCTTGTACATTTTTCTAAATGCACAGATTGATATAGGGGAGGGAGTCATATTTACCTTATTTTTATTAATAAATAAATTATTTATGAGTTTAGATGAGATGCCCCTAGCAAAACAAACAAACAAACAAACAACACAAAATGTAAAATCTAAACCGATATAAGAGCATGCACCACTGTTTTTTAGGTAGCTGACAGAAGTAATGATCATGTTTTTTGGTGTTTTACACTGATAATTTAATGCTAAAATAATTTTAGCAATTACTAATTGACTTACTAAAAAGTACAAAATGATTCAAAGGGATATTAATGATGAATACTAATTAAGAATACCGAGCATTTTCTGAGTAAAAGGACGAGGAACAGTTTGCACTAATATTGTATTGTAATACGGGCTGTTGTCTGATTAAGCATGTATTCAATTAAAATGTTGAACTGCAGTTTTTTTAAACAGCCTGAAAATAATACTAACATTAGAGGAGCGTTAAATCTTTAGAGAATAGCTATGCAGTGTGTGAAGGCAAATCCAAAATACTTAGCTTCAGGCAAACAAAGAAATGCCATTCTTTGCTTCCTGCTCCATCAGCACTGCACAGTTCCCTAGCTGTACATGCAGCTGGAGAAATAAAAAACTACTTAAACATTTTTAGATTAATGCAGTTACAAATCAGAGTTACAACCCAGTATTGGTAAATGAAACAGTCTTGTCAATTTGAATTTTCTTGTGTATTGCAGAGTGAAATGATGGTGTTTTTGACACTTATGATGGTTGAATTACTTTGCTGGTGTAGAGATGCATGGAAAAAAACCTGTGCAAGTGAATTGGAAGGAGAGGAGGAGAATGTTCTATTTAATAATTGCTTTTATTCCCCAAATGGTCTTTCACGATTACATTTGATACCACATTTGATTGTGTTGCAATGGTTGGTTAACTAAAGCAATTTTGTTTCCAGTTCAGCTTCACTATTAATTTCTTACACATGTATAAACATAAGGGATATTTCATTTGTATTTTAACAAGGAATGTCTTTTTGCATGGCCTATTAGCATCCATTTACTTTTACGAAAACTGAAATTCTTTTAGGACTTTTAGGAATTAATTATAACATTAAAATGCTACAAGAAAAAATATTTCAGCTTGCATTATCTTTTAAATAATAATATAATTCTATATTCTTCTATGTAAACTATTATTTTCTTAACCCTGGTATTTGTGAGACAGCATTGTTGTGATAATGAGGTACAGACCTGGCCTTAAAAGTGAGACAGTAGATCATAAAGAAAACACTTGGGGATTATGATTTTTTTAAAAAAATAAACATTGGTTGCATAAAACTGAAGTGAAAAGTTGCTCACCAAAGAAATGAAAAATAAAAGGCATAACTGAGACAACGAGTCTCCAATAGCAGGAGTTGATCCATTGAGGTGACCCAGGAACTGACCTGCAGGAGCAGAGCAGCAGTAGGCCACAGGTTTCAGAACTGTCTGTAACTTTCTGGACATGGCAACAAGATTAAAATATTTCATCTTAAAAGCTTCAACTGGGGAAAGAAAAAAAAAAATCTATCAATTTTCCAACTTCAGTACTGCTTCATTCTAGGAAGGCAGTTTATTAGACACGCTTTTTCTTTTGATAGAGAGGTGTGAGGCACTCAGAGAAGGTGACGAGCTACAGAGCAGTTTTTCTCTATTAACAGTGGAGAGAGGATGCAGCTCCCTTGGCTAGTACCTCTTGTAGTCCAGTGCATTTGTGCAGTGTGATGCTGTTTAGATTTGGTTGCAGATCTGGGTTGTGTGGAACCATTTCCCATAGGTAGCAAGCATGTGAACCTTTTCTGGCAGACTGTACTTAATAATTCTGCGAAAGTTTCAACAATGCTGAAAATGGGCAAAGAGTCAAAGGTGTCTGTATCTTGACACAGTGTTCTGATCCAAGACTCAATGAAGTAAGTTTTCCATTGATTTTGATTAATTTTGGATGAAGCCTCATACTTCTAAAGCAAGTGACTCGGAAAAAAACCACACAGAGTGATTGATTTAAATTGACAGGCAGATGGTAAGGATCTTAGGGAAGATGATATGTTCTTCTCTGAAGGGCCGTGTGCCACCTTCACTTATGTGACATATAGCTTTGATTTGTGCATAATTTAAATTAAATGTGCCATATCTCACTGAATGGAAAGAAATCACCTTTCTTCTGTCAGGGATTGTTTG